CAAGAAGAAGTGCATATACCTAGAGCTGGAATCAACATACTTGCACAACGCAAGATTACGAGTTGTTTCGGCATAACTACGAAAGATGAGACAAGGACGGAAAAGAGTGCTGACTTAAGTTGAAATTTTATTAGCGAAAACGCTGGAAATATATACTCAGGACAGAAACCAGCACATCGCAGCACAATCGCGCAACCTATTCCGCGCAACCACTCGCGCAACACCTCGTCAACCTAATTGCCATTGCCGAGTGCCAGGCACATACATTTGCTTATTGCATATGCCTCACGTTTCTACCGCCTGCAGTCAAGCTGTTGCACGGAGGCCTCACTCCTTCGACTGGACAGAGCATTCGAATTTGCAAAATTCGTCGCTGGGAATGAAAACGTCTAGTGCGCCAGCTTTGGGACGTTATGTTCTTTCAAGTGAGCAGTACCGAGAGCCCTCGAGAGGCCAAGAAAAAGTGGCTGGAGTTTTGTGTCTCCACTGGCAGAACGACCGAGTTCATCTGGCAGCATATGCTGGCACACCTTCCGGCCATCACTCCTAGGAAGAGACCCTCACCGAGCAACCCAATGCACACAGCGTGTGACGTGCCCATCCCAGACAATTTACAGCGTGTGTTCAGCTTGGGTCCCAAGTTCGCCACACAACCTCCGCTGGCACCTCCAGAAATGCTGACCCTTGTAAAGCAAGTAGCCAAATGGGCTCCAGAGGCTGAAACAGATAGGTGCTTAGCTGAAGGTATTCAGGTTCTGTCACAGTCTAAACCAGACCGCCATAACCTGCCTTTTCACCGTGTTGTCACGTTCTTCAAAGATCATTCTATAGCGTTGTTGACCGCAGATAAGGATGGGGGCTTCGCTGTGTTGTCGAATGAAGTGCTTCATTCAAAAGCCAGCAATGGTATAAGTTCCGTTTTCGAGTGTCGAAGCTATGCAACGCTGAAAAAAGTAGACTCATGCCAAAAAGTTGTGCAATGCACTGGAATTAAGTAGGCTAGCAAGATCCATTGACAAAAGCAAGAAGCTTAGCTTGGACTTATTCTTCACAGTCAAGACTCACCAAGTCGACTGGCCACTTCGAATCATTGTTTTGGAAAATGAGACGTGGCAGAAGTGGCCTTGTTCGTACAAGATAAGTTAAAGTTGCTGACTATCGATGACCCTTTTGTGGCGAAAGATTCTAATGACATTATTGCATTTCTTTCACGTAACAATGACCCAAATGCCTGCTCTGTTCACATCAAGGATTTTTACTATTCTTTACCACATGACGCGGTGCTATGGTGCATTGAGGACTCTATTGACAACTTTGGTTCAGTTGCATTCCAGAATGTGGCGGCCATAACAGTCAGCGGTTTTTTTGAGCTCGTTGGCTTTTACTTAAAGACAACTTTTGTATCATAGGATGAAGGCACTTTTATTCTAGAAAAGAGGAGTGTGCATCAGTTCATGCATAGTGCCTGTTTTAAGTGACATTTTTCTCGCTCATCATGTCCGACTCTTGGCTAGCCGCCTCGACAAAACGGTTGTCATGAAGGTTTTTCGTTTTGTTGACGATTTTTTTGTGCTTTTTGACTGCAATGATAGCGGCTTTGAAGCTGCCATTTCAATCACATTATGTCTTTTCGATGAGTGTATGGCACCTATAATTCTGATGCATGAGCTGCCGCAGGATGCTTCGTGAAGGTTTTTAGATTTGAGATCAACCATCTCAAGTAAACATCTATGCTGGAAATACGAGCCTAGAGGAAACAAACCACTTCTGCCGTACTTGTCGGCTCATTCAAAACTTGTAAAAAGAGGGATTCCTAATCATTGTTTCAGAAACGCTCTCCGCAAGTCTTACAGCCACTCGTTAAACAGCAGCATCGTTGAGCAGGCTTCCCGTCAGATAAATGCTGGTTTCTCCGACCATGTGCTGGTTTCAGTGGCGGGAAAAGTTGCTCAAGACCATTAAACAGGGACGTGAAGCAGCACTGAACTGCGTGGCTAGTAGCTCAAAGCGCATGGCTGTGATTCCTTATCTACATAAGATTTCTCACAATTTTGAAAAAGATAGGTGATATGGTTGATGTGAAGGTTGTTTTCTCTGTCCCAGAAAAGCTTTCAGTGCTTTGCAAACGTGTGAATTCACAGTCCGCATAAAGGACCTGCTGCACAATCAAACACAGGAGGCTATTCGTAGCATGTGTGATTGCTGTCGTTTACTTGATTCCATTGTCATGCGGCAAGATGTATGTTAAGCAAACTGGCAGGTGCCTCAATGAGCGTTTGAAGAAGCATCATTACCATGTAAATTCAGCTGTTCAAGGCCATCTGGGCATTCAGTGTGGAGATCGTGGTTGCAGACCGGAATGTGAAAAGTGCACCATTGTCGTAAAACACCGTCAACAGCTAACACGAGAGATTATTGAGGCCAATAAAATGCAAATGCTGGGGGAGCAATGTACCAGCATGCCTTTGAGTGCACTCACTCAAAAAGAAATCGAATATCTGGCTTTAACACAATAGATTGGGAGTTTGCGCTGAGGTGTGCTGTTGTATTCACATTATGAGATAATGATTGTTTGGCTGTGACACAATAGGTTGCACAATTGTGCTATGATTTGCTGGTTTTTGTTACGAATATATATTTCCAGCTTTTTTGCGAATAAAATTTCAGTTGAAGTCAGCGCTCTTTTCTGTCCTTGTCTCATCTTCGTTAGTTACGCCGTAACTACTCGTAGTCTTTCGTTGTGCAAATGTGTTGATTCCCAACCACCAACTAGCCCAAGCATCTGTCTTATCAGAACTGGTTGGCGAACTTCTCAAATATGTCATCGACACTCGAAGGAACGGCTGCGCCATATCGACTGACATGATGTGCGGAAAGCCTTGAACATCGCTCGCCACTTGGAAATATTCCATACACAGTCGAGGCAAGTCTGGGTTGGGTGACATGGTTTGTGGGCTGTAACCAGCTCTCCATCCACCACCGAGCGACAATTTGTCAAAGGCTTCCAAGGGAGTACGAAAGCCAGGTGATAAAATCACATCGCTTTGTGAATGGTCTTCGGGGGGGGAGCACAAATACGAACATCTCTCAAATTGGGAATGCAGACCATATTTTTGTCTGGTTCGACACACCAGAGAGCAATATAGTACACTTGAACGGCGCGAAACTTGTGCGCACGACCGGCGCAGAGCGTCAAAGATGCACTGTGAGCTGTGCCTCACAACAGACAGCAGGAAACTTTCGCTCTACATCGTGTTTAAGAGAAAAACTCTCCCGAAAGGGAAGTTCCCTCAAAGCATCATCGCACGGGCCCAGGAAAAGGGTTGAATGTGCGAGGAACTTGTTGACTGGGTAAAGACTGTCTGGGCAAACAGACCTGGAGGCCTCTTACAGCAGGAAGCCCTCCTTGTTCTGGACAGTTTCAGGGGCCACTTGACTGATCGCATAATGAACAGACTCGCCACGACTCGTACGGACTTGTCTGTTATTCCTGGAGGACTGACGAGTGTGCTGCAGCCGCTCGACATCAGCATTAACCATCCGTTCAGAGTGCGATTTCGCCATTGCTGTTTGGAATAGATGGCTGGGGGCCATTACGAGAAAACGCCAACAGAATGGCTGAAGCGGGCATCGCTCCAACAAGTCCTTGACTAGATTTTGAGTGCATGGTGTGCTGTGTCGTTTGATGTAGTTGTGAAAAGCTTCAAGATAACTGGAATTTCAAACTGCATGAGTGGCACTGAGTATGATCATCTCTGGGAGGACTTTGAGGCAAGCTCTTCCAAGAATGAAGACAGCGATAGGGAAATAGTATCTTAATAAAAACATTCCTGGCTGGTCATTTATGACTGTCTTTCACTCTGTTACTGTTGTGGAAACAGCAGAGACCTTTGGTGACCTGTCATCGCGTGATTCGTGTAAGGGCCGCACCAAGCAATAATTTTTTACACGAGTACAAACGGTAAATGAACATGCTTTCATATCACCATGCATGCAGGCTGCAGGATGCCCATTAATGAGGACAAGTTTTCAACTGCAACGTTTTATATTGAGAATTTTGTTGAGATATGAATTGATGACGAGCCCCGCCGCGGTGGTCTAGTGGCTAAGGTACTCGGCTACTGACCCGCAGGTCGCGGGTTCAAATCCCGGCTGCGGCGGCTGCATTTCCTATGGAGGCGGAAATGTCGTAGGCCCGTGTACTCAGATTTGGGTGCACGTTAAAGAACCCCAGGTGGTCGAAATTTCCGGAGCCCTCTACTACAGCGTCTCTCATAATCATATGGTGGTTTTGGGACGTTAAACCCCACAAATCTATCTCTATGAATTGATGACGATAATAATAAGGGGATAATGGCTAGAAAGCTGTGCCACCTGTTGCTTAGCGGAGACCTGTACAAGAGCCTGCCATGGTCATGTGTGGTTCGGATCATCCGTGATAGATTGCATGCAAATTAATCGGCTTTAGTACAGGAAGTTTTATTCAGCTTGGCCAGACCATGCCCTTTGTTGAAATTATTGAACATTTTTCAAGTGTTGAGGCATATACTGACGAGCTAGCATGGTATCCTAGGCTGGAAGAGAAACATTTCATAGGAGACATGCACGGGGAGGAATACTTGTCTTTTATACGAGGTGTCTCTTAGAATACCGCATATCCTTTTTCTTACAGTCCCTATTTCAATGCAGGCACACTGGTGTCCCTCATACTGATTTGTTTCTTTTAAAGGGGTTCTACTGTACTAATAAGCTGTACTGCACTGCTTTGACAAGCTGGCAAGATTCTGATGGCGACTATCCCTGATCACGGGGAGTAAAGCATCTGTTCGCTTGTTCTATACCCACTTGAGAAAAATCTGTATCATGAAGTGTTCCTCGGTGGTTGATGTCCACCCAGGTGAACCTGTCCAAATATCAGCAGCTCATCTGTTCGCTTTTATCTATACCCACTTGAGAAAAACGTGTCATGAGGTGTTCCTCGGTGGTTGATGTCCACACAGGTGAGCCTGTCTGAATATCGGCAGCGGATGCGGGACACTGCGCGGCAACCACCTGCAGCAGTGCCTGCCGTGACAGTGCTTGACAGCCCTGTCAAGCGCAGTTCTCTCGGCCGGCCTCACGACATCCCAGCCGACACCAGGGCCATAGATGATGACGAGTCATGGCCCCAGCGAGAGCGGCTGAGCCAGAGGCTGCGCCGAGAGTTTGGCCTGCTGGATGATGACTCTGACACGGAGAGGGGCACCACTTCTGCAGGTCAGCTATTTCCCACATTTGACGGAAGGAGAACTGGCGCCAATATTTTGGTGAGGCGTCTTTTAGCTGGCCTGTGTTATGAATTTTCATACAGTGAATTCCTCAATAATATCAAGTGTTCTATTCGCCGCAGTTCTCAATAGAAGCACATGTATTGCGACCTTTGTGTAACGAAGTAGCAGCAGGAGGCAGCCTTGGTGTAATGAATTTGTGCTGCCAGCAACCCAAGAATTTAGATAGAAGCTTGTCATTTTGGCTCGACTGTGCAGCCAAAATGCTCACTGCACACAGACGTGATGTGCAGTGAGACGTAGCCTTTCCACCGCTGTCCGGGCTTCTCTGGATTGCCCGCAGTTGGTCATGCAGATCTGAGCTAGTCAGCGTACTTAGCCAACGCTCCTCGAGAAGGTCCGGTTCTATGTTGTCCTCTCGGTATATTACTGTGACCTGTGTGCATTGTCATAGAATATGTGCCATATCTGCGACTACCCTTTTCTCAGTAGAAAGCTGTTAAACGCGATTAATAAGGACATGCCATGCGATGCCACATGCGTTTGGGGTCAGGCTAGCAATGCTAATCGTTCGTTGCCGTTTCAAAGGCTTATCTGTCACCAAGACTAGGCGAGCCCGCACAGCGTGCTGTGGTCTTTTTTTCTTTTCTTCCCTCCGCCCTTGATTCGTTCATCCCACGTCCCCTCCTCCTCCGTAACCACCTCATCCCTCACACCCCAGCGGCGCACCCAACGCGCCTCCTTTCAGACGCGCACTCACTACTGCGATTGTGACAAAGGTTTTTCGGCAACTGCTTTATAATCGGTCTCTCATCTTGAAAAACTGCACAATAAGCGGTATCCGTGTACATGTGGTTCTATGGGAGGGTGAACGGGAGTCGAAAAAGACCGCATTGTAACCGGTTCTGCACTGTAAGCGGTTACATTATAAGTGGCCTATGCTGTATTGTGCATATCAGAGACAAAATATCAACACGTCAATATTCTGTGGTGTGTTTCTTTATACTATAGAAATCATACAGAAGATTTTCCAAGGACCGTAGAGTTTATTGGCCTGCGCTGACAATGCTACGCTATGCACGAAAAGGCTAGTGCTTTCTTGTGATATGGGGCAAGCTGGCTCCCGCGCTTAAGCGGAGAGCGAAGGCAAGCGTCCAGCCAACGCAGGCTCCGGTGACTAACCGACTTTATTTCCGCTTTGTGCTCCGCGAACTACGACGCCGAAACGCGAGCGCTTTCCTCAGTGCGGTGGCGCCGTCTGTCATGCTTCTCAGCCATATGCATGGGGAGAGATCACACTCCTCCCCACCCACACTGGAAAAACTGAGTCCAGGGCGTTTACGACGAATAGCGCTCCATGGCACATCTTGCTCTTGAGCTTCTTTGCATAGGTAGAGTTTGCGGCTCAGACGTGGAGAGGGATGAAGCAACTGGCACATCTGCTGAACCTTCCCCAGGTTGAGCTTCATCCCGACCGTCGGCGTCTAGATGAGTTTGTCCGATACCGTTTTGTTCATCATGTGCTCTCGTACCATGCGAAAGTCCCGAGCCTCTACGGCGGCATCCGAGGGCGAATCAGGTGTGACAAATTCAGGGGGCAAATGCTCCCGATGTTGCCTCCAGAGTCGACCATCTCGCAGTGTGACATCAGCAATTGTGGTAGCTCGACGTGGAAGTAACTGTCTCAGGAACCCAGGGTGGACCGTCTCTAAAATTCCTCACATAAACACCATCCCTGGTTTCGCAATCGGCATGGGGTGGACGGTCTTCTCGTGCGCTACCTTCTGCTGGAGCTGCTTTGCCAAGACTCTGGACCTCATGTAAGGGTGTAAGAGCTGTCTTCAGCTTCCGTCCGATCATCAACTCAGCCGGTGAGCATCCCATAGTCTCATGCAGCGTTGATCTGTAGTTCAGAAGGATTCGTGCGAGCTGGCATTCGAACCTTCCACCCACTGCCTTCTTCAGCTTTCCCTTGATTGTTTGAACTGCACGCTCTGCAGCACCATTCGAAGTGGGATAATATGGTGGTGTAAGCACATGCTTGATGCCATTTCATTAGAGGAATTCCTTGAAACTGGCGCTCACGAAGGCTGAACTATTATCCGACACGATTACGTCGGGCAACCCATGGGTGCTAAACATGGTGTGCTAGCATGGAATGGTGGCCTCTTTCGATGGTGTGGTCACAAGAACAACTTTTATCCATTTTGAGTAGGCATTAGTGACAATCAGCAAGTACCGATTCCTGAGTGGTCTGGCATAGTTAATGTGAATTCACGACCACTGCCTCTCTGGGAACGGCAACGGCGTCGTTCCCACTAGCCGCGCGGTTCTCTGGTTCTCCTGACACATGCGGCACTGACATACCGTATTAGCGATATCATCCAAGATAGACCACCACACATGGCTACGAGCCACCACTTTTATTTTTGAAATACCAGGATGGCCTTCATGGAGTAGGTGCAGCACTTGCAGTTGCAGCGTAGAAGGAACCACCACGCGTGAACCTAGCAGAATACAGTTTTCTTGCACACTCATTCGTGTACTTCGATGAGCATAAAGTTTCAGTGCGGGTTCCCGCAGCTCTTTTCCAGCCCACAGTGCTTCACGAACCTTTGCCAAAATAGGATCTTTGGAGGTCGCTTCAGCCACTACAGATAGCATCATGACCTTGGGATACGCAGTCTCGAGCATGAACACGTCTGCCGGCTGCTCGACAGTGTGTTCAGAAACAGGTAGCTGGCAGTCGACTCGAACAGTCGGCGTTTTGAATGCTCAATCCAGGTCTGTACTTCAGCTCGTAGCTGTAAGCCGCCAGCATCAGTGACCAGCGCAGCACTCTTGGTGAGCATGTCTCAGGCACAGGTTTTTCAGGGTTGAGCAAACCAAGCAGAGGCTTGTGATTGGTGACGTCCTTGAACTTCTAGGCCCCAAATATACTGCCGAAACTTGGTCACTCCGAACACAAGGGCAAAGGCCTCTTTGTCTAGATGACTGTAGATGCTCAGCAGATGTGAGACTCCTCGACACAAATGCAATGGGTCGTTCGGTGCCATATTCATCGCCATGGGCCAGCACAGCACTGACATCATACGGTGACGCATGGAAGATCAGCACCAGGGGCTTCTTGGGATCGTAGTGTACCAGAACAGCTGCCGATGCGAGTAGCTTGTTGCTTTGTTGAAAAGCTTGTTCTCTGTCATCTCCCCACACCCATAGTGCCTTGCTTCTAAGGAGCTGACTTAGAGAATGCAACATGCTGGATAAGTCGGGTAAAAACCGCCGATAAACGTTGACTAGCCCCAGGTAGCTCTGTAGTGACTTGACGTCACTTGGTCGGAGCGCTTTTCGGCACAGCCTCAGTTCTCTTTGAATTTGGGTGGAAACCCGCAGACGAAACGGCATGGCCAAGGCACTCGACCTGTGGGGCAAGAAACACACACTTTTTCAATTTCAGCTTGAGTCGAGCCTCCTTCAGGCGGCCTAACACTCGGGCCAGGTTTTCCAGGTAACCCTGGTCGTTGCGTCCAGTCACCAACACACCATCGAAATACACAAAGTGTCTCAGCCCCTGCAGAAGGTTGTCCATTTCCCTCTGGAATATCGAAGGTGCTGAAGGTATACCTGAAGGGTAAGCTTGTGTACTGGTACAGACCTCCCGGTGTGTTTATTGTCAACAGCTTAGTTGATTCCTCAGCAAGTGGAACTTGTAAGCATGCATCCTTCAGGTCAAGTTTGGTGAATTTCTTTTCACCACTTAGCTTAGCGCACAGGTCCTCAACACGAGGGATGGGGTAATTCTCCGGTACGCTCACTGGGTTCATTTACTTGATCGAACATCGTAAATGGAACAGGGGAGGTTTAAAAAACTTAGGTTTCGCATTCTCTTGAAGTGTGATCTTCGCAGTAACGCCCCTGAATGTTCCTAGGTCATCGTCGAAAATACACTGGTACTCCGCAATAACGTCCTGAATCGACGAAACTGCGTTGACATCCGTCGTGCTCTGAAGTGGTATTCCCAGTCCTTTTATCCAGCCTCACCCCATGAGGGAAGAGCAGTGGCCCAAGACGACGTGCAGCAGGTTGTCACACTGGTGACTGCCAAGTGGCACGGACACATCCAGGTCTCCTTTGACAGGAGTGAGCTCGCCCGAATAACTTTTCAACAGGACAGTTGAGGGTTTCAGGTGCACTGATTGGAACTTGCGGCGAAAAGTGTCCTCCGAGACAACCAAGACACACGCGCCTGTGTGAAGCTCCATTTGCAGCAAAATTCTATTCACAGAAACTTCGACACGGAATGGCTGAGTGTCCTCAGCACCCTGTAGTTTCCACATTTCGTATACTTGCGGCGCATCGAGCCTCTTTTCAGTTTCGTCACTACCGGTGTCGTCCACAGCGTGCACAGACTTTTTCTTCCCAGCCAATGGCACCTGTTCTTTAGAGTTCACAACACCTTTCTTCCCCTTACACACACGAGAAAGATGGCCCTTGAGCTTGCAATTGTAGCACACACTGCTCAGGTGACGACACTGCGTCGCCAGGTGCTCACCGCCGCAGCGAAAGCACACCAATGATGTTCCTTCCCGCCTCGGCGCCGACGAACCACTTGACAAGTGGTTGGTCGGCGGGACGAACGGCACTGGCGCCATCGAAAGTGCCCGTGAATCATTGCTCGCCACCTCCATCACAATGACAGTTTTCTTCGCTATTCCAGCGTCAAGTCTCATTGCTCCAACAGTCGCCTCTGCACAGCTTGATGGTTAATGCCCGCAACAATGCGGCCACGCAGCATCCTGTCACGAAAGATTCCAAACTCACTGTCGTCAGCGAGTTCGTTCAAGTAGTCCGCAGCCTTCTCACCCACCTGTTATGTTCTTGAAATTAACTTGAATGTAGCAACGACTTTTGACGGTTTTGGCAAGAGAAATGCTTCTCGAGCACATAAAAAATGGACGTTAAACTTGCTTCGCACGGCTTCACGGGCACCAGAAGGTTCCGAAGCAGGGTGTATGTGGCCGGGCCACAACACGTAAGAAAGACAGCTCTTTGTTTGTCATCCGGTACGTCGTTGGCAATAGAGTACTGTACAGTTCGCTCTAGGTATTCTTCCCAGCTCGTCAGCGCGTGAAATGGCTCCAGCTTGCCGACGCCAGGCATTTCCGAAGTACAGGAACGCAGGCCCTGGGCAGCAGTGGCAATACAATAAAGACAGCCCTCACGCAGATCAATGCGTCTTCCTCATCACCATTGTGATATGGGGCGAGCGGGCTCCCACATGTAAGCGGAGGGCGAAAAGCAAGCGACCAGCTAACACAGGACTCCGGTGACTAACTGACTTAATTTTCAGAACTGTGCCGCCTAAACGCGAGCGCTTTCCTCGGTGCGGTGACGCCATCTGTCGTGCTCCTCAGCCAGATGCATGGTGAGACATCACACTCCTACGCTTTGCTAAGGCGACACGGTGGTCGCACCTACCCGTCTCATTCCATTCTACACCTTATCACCTCCAAGACAGGCGCGCATGCCACCCGCTTTTTGTATCAGAGGCCATCCTTTCGTTCTCACGCAGCCTAGAGTGCCTCGATGTGCCTTTGCTGCTCACGAGGCACTATAGCGCAACACCTTCAGAATACTATTCATCGATTTTCTCGCGCAGAACATCAAATAAAACGTTTCGTTCACTCTCTCTAATTACCGTAATTACTCGAATCTAACGCGCACCTTTTTTCCGGTTAAGCGAGTTTATAAATTGCATGCTGCGTTAGAATCGAGTACGAACAAAAAAATTACGGTCAATCTATTGCCATCGGCAAATCCAAAATGGCCGCCCCCTACGTGCGTCGGCATGGCGCGTCGGCCATTTCTGCCTATGTGTTTCCCATGTGCGGCACTTCGTACGTGTGCTGAGGAGTTCGTCATCTAGTAGTGCATTAGCATCTACGGCGTGGAAGGGCCGACTCCAAAAACTCGATAGCACCACGATGCCGCTTTTAAAAGAAAAGTCATGGCGTGTGCAGAAACGGACGGAAATCGGGCCGCATCGCGGTCGTTCGGAGTTCCCGAAACGTGCAGTGCGGGACTGGCGGAAACAAAAGCAGAAGATTCTCGACAGCAAAGCTTCACGCAAAGGCTTCAGTGGACCACAGCAGGGTCGGTTTCCGCAAATTAAAGAGCTGCTCGGCAAGTATGTGCTTGAGCAGCGAGCGGCACAGCGGCCCGTGACGACAGAACTGCTCCAAGTGCGGGCTATGCAATTAGTCTTGGAAAAAGGTCTAATGCAGAGCCAGTTTAAAGCGAGCAGGTGCTGGCTAACTAACTTTATTTAGAGGAAAGGCTTTTCCCTCCGAAGGGGAACATGAATATGCGAAAAGTTTTGCGGAGGAGTACGATGAAAAGCTTCACAGTTTTCAGAGGTTCGTCCTAAACTTGCGGCGCAACAACGGCTACCTGCTTGGGCAAATCGGGAATGCCCATCAGACGCCTCTTTACTTCGACATGCCTGGCACCACAACCGTCGAGAAGAAGGGGGCGAAGCAAGTTCGCGTGCTGACATCAGTCCACGGTAAAACTACCGTGACGGAAAGCTCTGTTACACGTCAGATGGGCACAAGCTTCACCCGTACCTCATATTTAAATAGAATACGCTCCCGAAAGGAGTAGTTTTTTCGAGTGGTGT